TTCACAGAGTTTGTCAGAAGTTACTGAGGGATTCCTGATGGCTTTAGCTGTAGCCAGTTCAGGCTGAAGGCATGTCCCTGCCCAGTGGTGTGTGATGTATGGCACAGCAAGCCTTCTTATCGTCCTTCTCTTCTGTTCAGATGAACAAGGAGGCGAACAAACATTCCCCCCATGATACTTCCAAGCCTGCACCATGAATTTGTAAAGCAGAGACTTTGCCTTCATGGTGCCAAATTAAGCTATTGCAAATGCCTCCAAAAAGTATGTGCCTTTGTCAGGGAGAGGCCAGGTTGAAAGCTGGATGAAAAAAATGTAGTAGCTGAACTTCCTTGCAGAAACCTCCTCTGCTTGGATCTGAATGTGCTGCAAAAGCATGCAAGGTTACCAGATTCTTCTCCGTGATGCTTCAGTGGGTCTGTCTGTTCTGGAGTGTGTCCTTTTAGGAACTGCTGACACGTTGAGATCTCCACTTGATGGGCTGTACTACCCCGCATGGAGCTAACAGTGCATTTGCTACTAAGTGCCCCGTCCCCTTCTGAGAATGTAGAAGGCATGTTGCTAAGCCTTCCTCACTGTTTGTAGGATCAATCCATGTAGCTACAATATTTTTTTGCCTGTTTTTTTTTTTTTATACTGTTTGGCACGTTTTTTTTCCCTCTGCTCTTAACACTTTTCACTTTAACTACTGAGTAGCAGATCTAAAGCCATGGCTGCGTATCTCATCATGCCCGTGGATGGAGGTGCTGGATGCCTCAGTGAGGCAGAGCAGGAGAGAAGGATGGTGTCTGCCCAGTGAGCTTCAGGACCAGATGTTAGCAGCAGCACGTGGGAGCACGAAGCTGCAATGCTGTCTGCCTTCCAGCACTGCTGTGTCTTTCTCCTGGCATTCTTAGCAGCTGTAGTAGAAAGAGATCAGCACCAAAGCTTGTCAGAGGGAAGTGATTTCTGAATGCTTTATTGAGAGACACTCTTGCAAAGTTAGCTTAGATTGAGATTCGACCAATGCTGTTCTGCCTACAAGAGGCTGGCAAGTAGCCTTTTAAGTTTACCTCTAGCTTGATTTCAAGCCTTTTTCCTTGGTGAATCCTCATAGAAGATCTGTTCCTGTTTGTGTAGTAAGATGCAGTGCTAATGGCTTGAATGATGCACATTGTAGCAGAAGTGAAATGCAAGAAGCCAAAACTACCTTAGCACGTACGGTTCATTTAACTAAAAGAGGCAGACTGAGCAGCAGGTGGAAGGGTTAAACAAAAGGAAAAAGATTATAGAAGTTTGCAGCTTTGGCTTCACTACAAATGGCTCTCTTGCAGACTTTATAGCATTAGTGTTGCTTCTCATAAACCTTGAAACCATTCATCCGTTTAGAAAGATTAAATTGGTTAGTCATCCAGAACATAAAATATGCACATCCATTTTGTTTGTTACCTCAAACCACTTAAAGTGTAATAAATTCAGCTGGTGCCATTAAACCAAAGCACTGAGTATTACTGATGGCTTCAGTTGCATTTACAGTTTTCCAGTTCTTGTGTTTCTGGTAATATATTCATCTGTTGTTGCTCAGGGACAGGCAGCACAGTGTTGTGCTGGAAAACACAGCGCTAACTTACGATGTGAGAATGTCAGAGAAAACATCGTAGTATTAAAGCAAGGCCCAATCCTAGAAATGCTACATATTTCTTTGTTCTTAGAAGGTCAGGGCACAAACTTTATTTTTGGTGTCTTAATATGCTTATAATGCTATGCTACACAGTTTGCAACGTCAGGTTTATTTGGTTTTGCAGTTGCAGATGAAACTACAGAAATGTCAAGTTCTGCTCTGCCATGACTTCTGTTGCATTCCCCTTGCTTAAACAAGCTAAACAAAAACAGCCAGACTCTTCCAAAGCAGGTTTCAGAGGGGCCAGGTGAAGAAGCAGGGTTGTGACTGAAGGAAACAAAACGTAGATTCTATTTAGAAGCATTTATTCTCGATCCGTATTAGGATTCAGAACTCTTGCCCTGATAAAAACAAACTTGCTCCATAATGATTGTCTCAGACGACAAAGAAATTCAATTCCTGCTTCTTCAAAATAAGAGATCGTCTCAAATGCAAGGATTTCCAGTGTGCTGGATGGTGATGTTTACATGTTTTTAATTATTACACATTGTGCCTTTTATGATAGCAACCACGCTGACAGTATTAAACCTGGAAAGTAAATCCTACCTGAGCTTCCACTCCCATGCTGGAAATACCAGGTCATTCCTATAGAAGACAGGAGTCAGTGTCATATCAGCTACCACTCAAGGTAAAGCAGATTGCCAGTTAAGCACATTCTTGAGTTCCATCAACTTCTGCGGGCCACAGCAAGGTGCTCCAAATGAGCTATGATTTCAAGAACATTATGGACTCCAAGTCCACTTGCACTGAGCACAAAAGCACTCCTCCCCTTGTCATCCTGTGTGTTTTCTGCTGCAGCTGGAGAATGCTCAAGGAGATGAGAATACTTGCAGGGAGTCCAGCAGATGCTGCATTGCTGTGTGCTTTGCTTTGCTTTGCACTTTTTACTGAAATGTTTCTGATGGCAAAAAAGTAACTTCCCCCACCCCAGGCATTTGTCTTTAACTGTAAATACAAAACACATAACCAGCAGGAGTAACAGAGGTGATCTGAAAGAGGCAGAACCTCATAAATTGTTTGTGTGAGAAAGGCTGTCTTTCCTTTTCTCTAACTGATGGCATGCCAAGTTTATTTTACAGTACTTACAATAAGATTTGTTTGTTTTGATACCCTTTGTATGCTGTTATGGAAAAGGAAAAAGAAAAGCTCCAGGAGGTTTATGGTTTCTGATGAGACAGTTGGAGCTTTAGTTTTCTTTCTAGTCCTATATGTTTTACTAGAAATGTAATATATGAAGGGTTATGAGATTGCAATGGGGTGAGTTATTACTGAGCTGTCATTTATTTTTTCTGTATGAATTTGGTGCTTAAGAAAGACCTCCAGACCAGCAGGCTAAGTGAAGCTGCTGGTTCATTCAGGGAGCAGATAGAAGGGCAGCACTGCTTTCTCTTTTCTCACCGCTCCAGGAGCAGGAAGAGCATGCAGTCTGAGCCTGTGTGAGGTTGAGATCCGGATGGATGGCAAGGAAAATAAATCTGTCCAGAGAGGAGTGGTCTGCAGTGTAGCTGTACAGGCAGCCTGCAGATTGCCTGTGTAAGAGCTGATGTACCTGGCACATCCAGCACGTGGCTCTAGAGGCAGCTTCCTCTGTGATGAAGAAAAGCCTTGGATCATCCTTCACCAGACAGCACTGCAGGCTGAATACCTGTGTGTGAAAAAAAGGCACCACAGGACCTGCAGTCCTCAGTATGTGAATATTGGCACCACCAATAGCTGGCTGTTAGAGTTTGGAATTTCCATGAACATGCTGGATACCCTGGTGTTCATGCTTAGAGTGTGAGCTGCAGTGTGAGCGGTTAGGGTCTGATCCTCAGCTACAGGAAACTCCTGACTTTAAATGAGAAGTCATCTATTAAATTGTGAGATGCTGGGGAGGGGAAGACTGTGATTACCCATCTCTTCCAGTTCAAGAACTAGAGGGCTTTGTGTGAGTCTATCAGCTGCTAAACTCAAAGCCAGCAAAAGGAGCAGTGCATTCTGTGTGTGTCTTTTTTCTCCTGGAGTGTTGTGTGTGTTCAAACGCTGCACTGAATCTAAGAGATGTGAGTCAAGTCACAGAAGGAAGCCACTGGTGGTGGCTGCTAAACATAGGAAACTGTGGGAGTTAGGGGAGATTTCATAAGTGCCTGCTTTGTTCCTGCTCTTGGTCACCCACGTGGACAGAGGGAAGCATTTATTTGACTTAGAGCATCTTTACCTGGAGGCAGCAGAGCAGTTATCACTCCTTCCGTGAGGCAGGCAGTGCTCTTGTGAGCTTGTTTCAGGGAGTTTGTTTTAAATGCCAAAGCCTTGATTGTTTGGACCAAAGTCCTGAATGTATTGTAAGGTCTTACGATATAGTAGAAAATGAGAAATAAAAGAGAGGAGTGGGATATGTTATGTACCATGCAAATTGCACAGAATTACTTTGCTCAAGGACAGGCTGCCTCTGGCCCCCCTTTCATCCCTGCTAACGAAACAACCATCCCCTCCTCCCTGGCAATTCCCTTAGCAGGATGATATGTCAAAGATGTATAGGTGTACCCAAAGCTGTGTAGAGACATGGCTTTCCCTTTACAAACACTGGTATGATATATACAGCATTTTAGGGTCAGTAAGTCTCTCTGAGTGACGTTAATACCAGGAGATGCTGGCACAGCCAGTCACTGTTTAGTTTACACCTGTCAGAAGCAGGCAGCCTCTGAACTACTGTGTCTGAGTGAGACCATTCATCATGTTTAGCTTTTATACAATACTCTTTTCATCTTTCCCACACTTCATGATCGTTAATTAATCCCACAGCACCCAGGGATTACTAGTAATGCTTTACAAGGGAAAGCAAAAACAAGCAGGAAGAGGTCAAATGGCTGGGCCAGGCCCACAGAGGTAATTTTGTCTGAGGAACTTTAGGTTCTGTGAGATTAAATTGGTGTTAGCTGGCCTGTCCTCCAGCATCACATCCATCTTCTTGGGAGGTGGCCTGGGGGGCCAATTTTGCTAGGCTCGTATTGAGAAATCCCTTTCATTTGTTTCCTCTCACACATTATTTTCTGAAGAAATTGAGGAGTTTTGTCTTCAGAGGATGAGGGAAATTTTCAAGGAGGCAGAACGTTCCATTTTCTGAAACTCCTCTGCACCATCTCTTCATCTTGCAATTACAAATGGGAGCTCCTGACTAATGAAGCTAACTGACTGCTTTTGCAAAGTCTTCGTAAAGGTCCAGACACACAGTTCACATTGTAAAAAGTAACTTGCTTGTGTGGCACACACAGGCCTTTTGATTGCACTAATAGCAATCTGGCAACTTATCTGACAGTAAATACTGCAAGTACAGAATGTGCTCATGGTGCTTTCTTCTCCATAGGACTTGAAAGATGACCGGAGTGATGAAGAGGAAGAAGATTCTGTAACGGATAATGAAGAGGAGTCCACAAAGAACGGCAATAAGAATGGCTGTGGCTCAGGCAAACATCTCCTTACCAGCAGTCACCACTAGCCCCCTCGTGCCTCACCTCCTGCAGCGATTGCTACTCTGTTTTTAACCCAACTTATGGGATAAAACCTAAGTCAACACGCTTAGGAGACACTGATTGATTTATTGTTGGCTACTGGACCTGGAAAAAAGCCCAGTAAACGGGGAGGGGAAAATTGCATAAGATGACAAAATGTGTTAATGACCCACTTTCTGAATCATTGCTTAGCATTTGGAAAGGTGCTTGGACACAGACTGCTCCACTCTCACAGTGCTCTACGAGGTGGAAGTGTCAGATCGTTTAGTGTCCCATTGATTTTAACTGTTTTTCAGTCTGATCGTCAATTTCATCAAGCAGTTTCATTCATAGGTGCTTCATGGGAGGTACCTAGTGTGAACTGCATCAGGAGACAGAGTTACTCGATGCGGGGAAAAATGACAGCGGTGTAGGTTGGCTAACATTGTATCTTTACTTTTCAGTTTAAAATCTCATTAACATGGCTATTTTTTACGAGTTTGATCTTGTTTTGTTCTTGATGGAAGCTAATGTGGAGGAATTCAAGCAATTTGCTTCCAGAGATTTTGCTTTACTGTAGAAGCGTGGTTTATCTCTAGAGCCTGCTGTATGTAGTTCAAATACTGTATGAAGAGATGTTTTGAAACGTACCAGTGAAGAAAATCACACAGCAGTTCTCCCCCGAGCTCCAGGTTTCATAAATGTCTTTCATCACAGCCATCCTGAATGTTAGAACAGAAGGTGCAGTGAATGAAAATTGGTTCTTCTCACACGTTCTTTTGTACTTCTTATTTGCTCGCAGCATGGCTGAACACCCGAGATCTCAACACATCTACAGCCCAGAAGATTAAGGATTATTCTGTCCTGTTTTGTGTTAGTTTGTCTCACAGTGACGTCGGATGACTGCCTTGGAGCAAATCTGTTTTGTGGCTGCTGTGCATTCACTGCATGTATCTGGTCACTGGGAGAGTGTGGGCCGAGCGAGGAATGTCACATCATCAGTGCAGTGTATTCATCTGATTTCAGAATCTGTCCATCTCTGCCCTTTTGGAAAATAGTGAATTGCATCAGCTGGAGCCAAGCGTGGATGCAGGTGGCTGAGATAGCATCGTTAGTCTGTGAGAAGTGTAAGAGCAGAGGATGGCATCTCGGTTCCCCTTACCACGCACACTTCATCAGTTTGCACTTTTGTTCTAGTGCTAGTGCAGAGTTTTTAGAGCCGGGGCTTTACAAGGAGACCCGTGTTCCCTTGAACAGTGGTACCTGATGCATTTGGCTTACTGGATGCTAATTGATTTGTCACAAGTTTTAAAGGTGAGAAGAGCTCTTGATTCTACAGTAGCTGAGACCATCTGGTGGAAGAAATCCAGTAGCTTGTGAGACTGGGGGGACCACAGCTAAAACATCCCCAGTGCAGAGCCATCAGTTTGGAAAGGCTCCTTTCCCCTTAAGGCTGCTCAGCAGGCACTTGGTGACCTACAGGAAGCACAATATGAGCGACTTCTTTGCCAAGGAGATCTTGAGAAAATGGGGATATAATTCAGCAACTGAAGCATTTGTAAGAGTTGGAAACGTTTGGGATCTCAGATACAAAGAAAAAAGGTTTTTTTCTGAACAGTTGCAAAAAAACTATGGGGCTGCTTTGTTAGAGAGGCTTGCAGTTGGAAATATCTCTTGAGGTGCTGAACTAGGCTGTGTTTAAGTTTTTACTTACATTTTGGACAATGTACTCCCCAAATCTTTGTGTTTACCACAAAGGCAATTACACCAAGAAAGGAGTATGGCCACAGCTCCTGAGAAGGACTGGAGATGGGCAGTAGTGGGAAGGGATTCCTGTGCAGCACTTGTAGATAAGTGGAGCTGCTCATGTGGAGCAGGCAAAATTCCCTCAGTAGTTGTTGCACAGCATCGTGTTTCCTTACACAGCTGTGGAGAATACCTTAAATGCTGCAGTGTGGATTTATTGGAAGCTTAAGTACTTATTACATCATCTAAAGCAACCGGTAAATTTGGCAGGGTCACAGCTGCTTATCAGGACCTGTTTATGGCATACATGAAAAGAAATGGCCTTTCCTAAAAAAAAAAAGGTAGAAATCCAATGTCTTGGAGGATTTACACTCCCGTTCAAAGCAGCGGAGACAACGATGCTTTCCACAAGACACAACGGGATTTTGGGAGGTGGCCAGGATATTATCATTGGATTTTGATGCCAGAAAGCTTTCCTACTATGAATAGGAAAGGAATTCAGGGAAGGAAACACGAAGAATGGTGCTGTCACAGGAGCGAGCCTCTGTACAACTACTGAATTTTAAACCAGGATTTATAGTTTCTTCGAGGCCAAATCTTGCCCTTCTTACTCAGACAAGTCTCCCACTGAAGCCAATTAGCTCTGCTGGAGTTTAGCCTAGATAAAATTTTGGATTGCAGACAGGCAACGTAATTACATTTGTTTTAAACCTACTTGAAATTAGGGTCTTACAGGGAGAGTAAAAGGCAGATAAATACCTTTAAACTTAAAACGTTGAGGCATGTTTTGAGTGAGTACGGAAGAATATGAAAGCAAAGAATGTCCGGAAGGCAAAGATTATGAGTGCATTAAACAACCAAGAAACTCTGTGGCGTTGCATCCAGGGGTACGGGAAGTAGGAAGGCCATGGAATTCCATCGGGGCGTTCATCTCCTGGCCAACCGAGTTGTTGGCATAAAGCACCAGGTGCTGCAGATAAATACAGAAACGGGAGCAGTCTGTGGCCGTGGGACAGGACGCTGTGTGCTGTGCTGACATCACATTGGTTGTTCCTGAAATTACACAGGTGTAATTTTCTGCTGTTTGCTGATAGAAACTCAGAAACAAGAAGCTGAGATAATGGAAAATAGTTCCCACTAATCGACTAAAGAAATGAATGCCTCGATGCTTTGAGATTTTCAATCTGTTCAATGCCCTTCACATCCTTTGGAAATATTACTGCCTCAATAAGCCAGTGCGAAACGGCGGGAGGTAATGCACAGCAACAGGAGATGGCAGAGTCACACATCGTCCTGAGCATTTCACAAAGTGAGGCCTGCCTTAATGCTTCACACTGGGCATTTGAGTTTGCCGTGTCTCTTTGACCATGCAAAATACTTATGATAGAATTATAGACTAGAAAATGAAGTTGTAGCCCATCAGCATTAGCAGAAACACCTCTGCTCCATTTAATTCCTCTGAATTTTGTTTTGGGATTCCTGTCAGTGCTTTCTCTGTGCTTGTTTGCTATGCAGATTTACCAAGCTGCTCTGGATTTGATTTACAGATCTCCCTTGCTCCACAGAGCTCATTTTGTCAATTAGTATCATTCAGTATAGTTACCTTTTTTTGTCCTTAATGTCACTGAATTTGCCCAGTCACTTAGGCTGCACACTACAAATAAAACCCTTTTGTTAAAGCAGATATCTGAAGGGGATTTCCTTGCTGCCCCTGCTTTGCAGTGTCCTCTCTGCTTTCTGTTCCCTCCTAGCATTCTTGTCAGCGCCCAGTTAGGATTTCCCTTTTCTCTCAAGTTTTTTCCATAGGCTGGGAAAGGCTTTCAAACCACTTTTGTAGGAAGAATCTTGCTCCTGAGCAGGCCTGGCAAGCAGCTGGACAATCCACCCACCTCTTAAGGGATAACAGTGACTGTTAAATGAGCTTTCTGACCTGCCAGGTCAGAGATTAAGAGCAAGTTTGCAGGATGTACAGCAAGTCAGGCTTCCTTCCCACAGGGCAAATTGGGCAAAGTGTGTTATGGCACAGATAGAGGCATTTGCTAAGTGATGTTTTAATTACAGGTAAATTGGGGAATTCTTTTTTGGGACAATTTATAAATGGAGAGGAAGCAAATCTGATAGCTACGTCATCGTTTTTATCGTTCAAGATTTATGCTTCAACTTGACAGTGATCTTGTGTGCAGCAGGAGCTACTTTACTCTATAATGCCAGCATTTTTATATCGTTCCTCATTTTGTTGTTACTGTGCACAGTAGGACCGATTTTGAATTTATGTGCATTTGAGAAATACAGAGAGAAATGCAGACATGACCAGAATCTTTTTTGCTCCTTATGTTCATACACAGTTTGAGGTGCTATCGCTAAGTTAGACTGCAGTGGGACTGCTGCCCAAAAGCCTGGTCGGAAGCACACTTCAGATAACTCAGGCATGGATCTTAACCTGAAAAAAGCAGAAAAGCTCTGCTGAAAGCAGGGAGCTGTGATAATTAGTGCCAGCTGAAGAGCTGTTCCATATTTCTTGTTCTTGCCATTTCTGTCTCCCTAGTTGGAAAGATCAGAGGGTCTGACTTGCCATCTCTTCCCATGCCTCCCTTTGCAGACAAACATAAGGGAAGGTGTTTCAGCCCAGATAATGAACTGTGGCAGAATACTTTGGATTTATTATTATTTATCTGAAGCCTTTTTTTTTTTTTTTTTAAGCTTATGAGTAAGAACAAAGTAGATAGAAATCAAATCAAGCAGAGATCTGTGAGTTTTGGCTACAAGCAGCTTGCAAACTGTGGAGAATAATAATAATAATAAAAAAATCTTGCTGATTTAGAAAGAAAAACACCATCTCCACAGGCACTTCCCTCAGCTGTGGGCTAGAAGAACAACAGATAATCAGCAGGCAGAAATGAAGGTCCATGCTGAGGATAAGAGCACAGCCTGGTTGTAAAACAGCCAAAGAGAGGTGGTTTGATGGCTGATAGCTGCCCAAGAGCTGGGGAGCCTTTCAACATAGAACAGCAAAGGAGCCAAGAATGCATCTCTGAGCTGATTTCATTGGTCGTGTTCAAAATCACTGAAAATGTCTGTTCTTATTTTCCAGTAAGTTTTATAGGCTCCCTCCTGCTCTATCTCTGCTATATGAGCCAAGCTTTTGTTTCTTGCCTGTAGGGTTTGAGATTTGGCTGCCCAAGGTGAGGACCTAGCAGTCAGAAGGTAAACACCTCTGATTTGACAGATGGGACATCTGTATTTCCACTGAGAGAGTGATTTCTATGTATGAAAATAACAAAACTTACCTATTGCCCATGCTTTAGAGGACAGAGAGTAAGCAGTGTGTATCACACAGCAAAGTGGCACGTGACTGACCAGCACCTTGGCAAGGGAGGTGATCTTTCCTTCTGAAGAAGGAGAAGAAATGTCAGCAGAGGGTTTGACAACTCGTCACGTAAACTTCTCTTACAGTAGGAATGAAAAATTCATTTAAAGGCTGCTTTCTCCAGCTCTGTAGTGGAGAACATTTTCTCACTCTGTCTCCATGTTTCTGCACGATGTTGCTTCTGCTTTACAGAAATTACCAAACATGGCCAGAGCAGTTGTCACCCATTTCTGAGAGCAGCCAGTGCCAAAAACTTGAGAGGTGATCACGAAGCCAGCAGCCCAAGGAAATCATTCTCCCATTTTGCTATAAAGCAGAGGCAGGTTTATGTTCTGAAACACATTTTGAAGGAGGAAGGGTGTTACCATGAAGTTACAGCTCAGATGTTCTTGTTGCTCACACGTGCAACAACCAGCTGCTTTGTGCTGCAGGATTTAGGCATGCCTTGGGTGAGGAACTTGGAGCATTTCTTTGGATTCCCATTGCCCATCTTGTGTTCCATCCTGCTTGCAACTTGCAGGTTTTGGTTACGTGCGTGGCTGCTTAACCCGGCCAGCAGAGGTTTTTCCACGCCAATCTCTGCTCCAAACTTGTGGCAGAAGCAGTGTAAAACCAAAGCAGCATGTCTGCTGAGGTGTAAGCTATTTGGTTCATCACAC